TGTTTTACCACTCATGTTTTATGGCTTGCTCTTAGCACTGTTTTAATATATTAGCATTCTAATATTTTAACATCATTGTTCTGCTTCAGCCAATTGACTTGTTCTTATTACAGAATTTATGGTTTTATTGATTGCTTTTGTTTTAACATAGTATTTGTAAGCCCCGCTGAGGGCACTGCCAGCTAGGCACTAGATAAAAATTAAGAATAACTGCTGGTTGAAGGGGCTTGATGGGTCTCCAATTGGAAAAAACAGCCTGCAGGGTGAGTCAGGACTCAGCTACTAGAAAGCCTTCCTAAACAAGGAAGTCCTTGAGGCACAGGGAAGAATTGCTTGACTTCTTCATATTACTTTAAAGCAACCAAATACGGTCGTGCCCGCTAGACGATTACTTCTTCATATTACTTTAAAGCAACCAAATACAGTCGTGCCCTGCTAGACGATTACCCTGCTCTACGACGAATCCGCTTTATGTTGACGTTTTTGCGATCGCTTTTGCGATCACAAAGCGATGTTTTAAATGTTTTTTTTTCCCTGTGCGATGATCGGTTCCCTGCTTCAGGAACCGAATTTCGCTTTACAACGATCAGCAAACACCTGATCGTCGGGTTTCAAAATGGCCGCTGGCCGAAGAAAGTAGCCCCCCGCTGTTTTCTAGGATGGAATCCTTGCTTTACAGGCACCGAAAATGGCCGCCGTATAGAGGATCTTCACTGGACGAGCAGGTATTCAGCCCATCGGAATGCACTGAACAGTTTTCAATGGGTTTCAATTGGTTTCTTTCTTCATTTGATGATTTTTTGCTCTACAGCGATTTCGCTGGAACGAATTAACGTCGTCAAGCGAGGCGCCACTGTAATTAGTTACATGTATTTTACAATCTGTCTTTTGCCTTTTTTTTTCCTGGTGTAGAGATAATAATAAATACAGTGGGACAGGAAATTATATTCCTGAACCGCCATTAAGGGAAAGGTTTAAACATAACCTTTCCTGTTGCCACTGATCCAAAAGAAATTAAAGCCCTGTGCAGCTGTATTATAACCATGGATCTCCTGTGTTATCTACAGTATGGCCCCGACAATGAATCCACAAAAAAAAAAAGCTCAGGCTGGGACTTTGGCAAAGCACCATGGAAAAAAGAGCTGCTTTTGCCTCTGATGCCAAGGCTTATTATTTTTTTATGTTCTTGTCTGCCATGTGCCATTCCCAGAAAAATTATAGCTAAGATAATATTGCAATCAATTAGCAAACAATACTGTCTTGGGATGGATTGCTCTGTTCCTTTTCATTTCTTTTGTTTAAAAAAAAAAAGAACCAACAAAGAGGAAATCCTTTAGGAGCTCTCAGTCTTTTTATTGCTATATGATGAGTTTTAATCCAAATGAAATTTTCAGGGGCGGGCGGAGGAGCATGTAATCTAATTAAGAGGCTCATGCTTTTAGCTGGACTCATTACTGCAAGATAAGAGATCCCATCATTACACAGACAAATATTCACCACCACCCCCAAGTGCAATGGCAGAGACATCCGAAGGCCAAATTGCAAACCAGTTCTGCCTGGAACTAAGTGGGTTATGGCATTTAGTCACGCATGCAAGAATGAAACAAAAGGGACAGGAAGATTAAGATTCGGAAAAAGGGAGGCAGAGGCAGAACCATCTGAAAAGGAAAGAAGGCATCACAGAGGAACATGTCTCCGCTTCTACTGTTGCTTAAAAGATGCTTTCGTTAGACAGTCTTTTGATCCAGAGCTGTTGTTTTCGACACCTTGGGTTTCCAAAGCTGCATTAAGGTGCAGCTTCTTTTCTATATTCTCACCCTGCTTTTCATGCAACTATTATCACCTAAAATGGTTCATATCGATGGGGTGGGGGAGAGCAAAAGCAGGTGTTTCTGTTAGGCTTATAACAAATGACAATACAGTGGTGCCTCGCTAGACGATGATAATCCGTTCCACTGAAATCGCTGTTTAGCGAAATCATTGTCTAGCGAAAAGCATTTCCCCATTGGAATGCATTGAAACCTGTTTAATGCATTCCAATGGGGAAGAATCATCATTGTCTAGCGAAGATCGGCCAAAGCGAAGAAAGCCGCTTTGCGAACCGCCGATCAGCTGTTTAAATTGCTGTCTTGCAAAGCTTAGGTCCTGAAAACACCTGTTTGTGAGCGCGGAGGGAGCTGTCAAAATTGACGTCTAGCGAAAATCGGTTTGCGAAGCAGGGACCAAACATTGTCCAGCGATATTCCCCCATAAGAATCACTGTTTTGCTAATCGCTATAGCGATCGCAAAAAGCCAATGTCTAGTGAAAAAACTGTCATGCGGGGTAACTGTCTAGCGAGGCGCCACTGTATGAGATACAGAAGGGAACAGGAAATAGATAAGTTGTTTGTGGACAGGATAAAATGACGAGGCTATCATTTAGAGCTTGTAAAAGCTACTGTTTTGGATGAAAACGAGCAGAATCTCTCAGCCGCCATGTCCCCTGATGCCGACAAACACACCCTAAGAAAAGTGATCTTGGACAAACTCTGCTATAAAAGCCATTTGGGCCACACAGAATTATTTCCCTAGCTGGCATTCTTACCTAAACATCAACTGGCATCTCTCGTTCCTCTGGTCCACAGATAGGAATAAAGCACCTCCTTCCCCTAACATCTGCAGTTCCAGAAACACAGGCAGAGGGAGACAGCGGCAAAAGGTAAAGGTTGCCCTTGACATTTAGTCTAGTTGTGTCCGACTTTAGGGCGCGGTGCTCATCTCTGTTTCCAAGCCATAGACTGAGCATTTTGTCCAAAGACACTTTCCGTGGTCACGTGATCAGCATGACTAGACACGGAATGCCGTGACCTTCTCACCGAGGTGGTACCTATTTATCTACTAGCATTTTTACATGCTTTCGAACTGCTAGGTTGGCAGGAGCTGGGATAAGCAGCGGGAGCTCACTCCATCGCGTGGATTCGCTCTTATGATGGCTGGTCTTCTGACCTTGCAGCACGGAGGCTTCTGCGGTTTAGCTCGCAGCGCCACCACGTCCCTCTAGATGGAGACAAAAGCTCTCAGCAAATTCTCTCTCTCTGTCTCCCTACCTACCTACCTAATAGAAGAATCAGGTTGGTCTCCTTTTTAGCTTGAAGTCACTCCAAGGAAGTTAGGGATGCATCCTCGGGGAGCCCTTCATGCCCTTGGCGAGGCGCAAACCAGAACACTGACTTCCCAACCGTTCCCCTGTCTTCCATGGCACTGGGCATGTTCCATCCTCCATGGGATGCTTCACTGGGTGTGGTTTCTCCTTCTTGTGCCAGGGGTTTTCTTCTCATACACTGGAAATCCTGAGGTCCCCCCCAAGTCAATGGGTCCTGCTCTCCTGTCTGTGGGTGGTGTCATTTGCTGGAGTTTTTGCAAACCTTGCATTCTGCCCATAGTAGCTGTGGCCGGGAGGGACCTTCATGGGCTGGGATGGCTGTCAATGTATCTAGCGCTAACCAACTGTTCCCTCCTGCCTCTGAATTCAAAGAGAGTTTCACACTCTCCCTCCTTACTTACCTACCTAATAGAAGAATCAGGTTGGTCTCCTTTTTAGCTTGAAGTCACTCCAAGGAAGCTAGGGATGCATCCTTGGGGAGCCCTTCATGCCCTTGGTGAGGCACAAACCAGAACACTGGGATGGCTGTCAATGTATCCAGCACTAACCAACTGTTCCCTCATGCCTCTGAATTCAAAGAGAGCATCACCTCTCTGTTCAGTGTTTTTCCCCTCTCTAGAGTCTACTGGGGTCTATTGCCGAAAGCAGTGATGTTTGTCACTTTGCTGTTTGATCTGTTCAACTGTAATGGGCCCTTTTCTTCTTTTTTCCTACTAATGTCTCAGGGTGAGTTATAGAGACTGTAAGTGCCAATTAACGAGAAAAGAGGTGACTAATCTGGGAAACTTGAACCTGTTTTGTTCTGTGAATCCCTGCACTTCTGCTGCGCAGCTAGAGGAATTTAACCAGAAAAATCAAAATTCTGCAATATCATTGTGCCCACATTTGCTGTTGGCATAAATGGTATAGGAGAAGTTTGGTCTCTCTGCCACACACAGTCTGAGAGGGATGGCTGAAGCTGTGTGCATTACCTTTTCCTCACTCTGCAGCTGAGAAGATATCAGAGAATGTCAACCACTCGGTCATGATTATCTCGAAGTGCACAGAGTCGAGGTCCATTTGCACACAGTAGGGAGCTAAAACAGACACAGGCTACAACATAAACCGAGGCTGAAAAATTACTGTCTGAAATCAATGCCACCCACTCTCCAGGTTGTAAATCCAACCTGGATAAATGTATGGTAGTTTTTTGAGAGGGAGGGAGGATAAACAGCTTTATTGCAAGTCTACCCCAACCTTGTTCAAGATGGCTACTAGTTAAAAGCAACCCAATTCAGGCTTGGGGCTTGTCAACGAGAGCAGCAGATCCTGGTTTTCAAATTTTCTGTCTTTCTAGACCAGCTTGATGCCATGTGGACAATCCTTCCTACAGTCACCAAAGTTAATCGTTCCACAGTGAGGAAGATTAATCACAAGACAGTTGCCAGTCTTCCAGGAGTGGACATCCAAGTAAATTTAGCCAAGGTCAGACTGTGCAATGGTCAAGGAAATTGCAAAAAAAACACAGGACTTACATTTCAGACTCTACAGACCTCAGTTAGCATGTTAAATATTAAAGTTCATGATAGTGCAATTAGAAAAAGACTGAATAAATACTGTACAGTTTGGACATTAAAACCATTCATTAAATCAATAGGCATTCAGGCTGTCTAGTTGACATTCCACCTTTCATCAAACACCACTCTCTGCTCTATTGTCATGTTCCTTTAAACAAAAAAAGATTAACTCAGGACTGAAGGATCAGTTTTCAGCATAAACCCAACATTTGAACCTGCTTCTCCCAGGCCTTAGAGTGGAAATTCTGTCCATTAGGTCTCCCACCTTCTCTGAACATCTAACTGGAAGTGTTTCATTTACCTGTTGTTGTTCTTCAGCTTAACGTGCTCCGTAGGTTCTAGAATCTGTCCGTTCTTCAACCAGGTGATCTGTGGTGGAGGCTCCCCTTGAGCCAAACAGGTGAAGATGGCAGTGGTTCCTACAGGCCTAGAAATAGACTGAGGGTGTTGCACAAATTCTGCAGGAGCTGCAAAAGAGGGAGGGAAGGCAGAGTGCAAATGTAAGGTGGGTGTTCTTTCTTGATAGATTCACAGGGACAGAGTGGTAGGAGGAAACAAAAGTCCAGGAGAAGGTTAGTCTGTGTAAGCCTCCATGGAATGAAAGGTAACTGTACAGTGGTACCTCGCATAGCGAGCACACCGTTTAACGACGAATCCGCATAGCGATGTTGCTTTTGTGATCGCAAAAGAGATCGCATTGCGATGTTTACATAGGCGCCCTGCCCTCGCTTACTGAGGTGGCGAAAATGGCGGCCTTATGGAGGATTCCCACTTAGCGGTGAGTTTATCCCCCATAGGAACGCATTAAACGGAGTTTATCCCCCCGCATAGTGATGTTTCCGGATAGTGATGATTTATCCGGAACGGATTATCGTCGCTATGTGGGGCACCACTGTATTTGTTTCCCTGAAGATACAAATACCAATACTGGCACCACAGGTGCTAGGGAAGTCCAGTCCCTCCCCCCCCCAGAACCAGGTGGTCCACTTACTGGTCACTGTGCGTCACACGCGGCCGTCGTTGTCAACATCACACCAACCCAGGAAGCAGCTCAGCTGGCGCTTCCCCCCACAGGTGCTAGGGAAGTCCAGTCCCTCCCCCCCCCAGAACCAGGTGGTCCACTTACCGCTCACTGTGCATCACATGCGGCCATCATTGTCAACATCACACCAACCCAGGAAGCAGCTCAGCTGGTGCTTCCCCGCCTCCCCACACAGCCGACCACTCCAGTGAGGAGGTGGGATGAGGAGTCTTCCCAGTCAGCTTTTGAGTGGTCAGCTGCATGGGGAGTCAGAGCTGCTTTCCAGATTGGCATGACAAGAATGACGACGGCCACACTCTGTGCGGTGACCGGTAAGTGGACCAGCTGGTTCTGGGAGGAGGGACTGGACTTGCCTGACACCTGTGGTGCCAATATTCGTATCTATATCCCATGTCTACTGTCAAGCCTAGCACCACCAGGAGAGGAGGCACATTGCTGCTGGGAGGCGCTCCATTGCCTGCTATAGGTCTTTTAATTAAAAAAAACATTAATGCACTGCCTTAAAAAAAGGCTACCTCCATTTTAGGGTGTTACAGTACTGTATGACTTTCAGACACCATTCCGGCTCTGGCCCACCCACCCCTAGAAGTTGAATCAGCCTGCAAAATTATGGCCAAAAGAAAAAAAAAGAGTTAGCCACCATTCCTGCTTCTTTTGCCCCCATGTTTTAGAATGACTTTCCAGGGTATTGGGGATTAAGACAAAATTGGTTGTTTTTGTTAAGGGCAGGCTTCAGTATCAGAATTTGGAAATGTTACTTTTTTAGACGACATCTTCCAGAATCCTCAAGCCAGCATGGTTCCTTTTTATTTGTGCTCCTGCCCTAGGGCCTAAAATATATTAGGTACCTACCTGTACCAAACTCCTTAGTGATGGCAACTATATAATAAAGCCTCTGCCCTCTGTTTCAAAAATTACAAGATGGAGGCAGGCATGTTCGCACATTCACATGCTCTCAGGTGGGGCTAGGAGGCATCACAAGAAAAAAACATACACAGAGAGTTTATTTTCCTCCCTGACAGCTTTGAAACACTACCTCTTTCTCTCACTGAGAAAAAGTGGTTATACGTAGATCTTTACCCCACCCTGATCAAAACCAAAGCAGCTCCACCTTACCAGCTACAAGGCGGTTGTTCTCCATTTACATTACATGCTGCTTGATCCTCCCAAACAGAATTTGTTTCTTCAAACACAAGAAGCTGTTCACACATGGAGCTGCCTGCCTGAAGGACCATCGTGGCAGAACTCTGAACAACAACCCTCTTTGCAAGGGCCGTTTGCACCTGAGGCTTTCATCTTGCAATCTCCCTGCTTTACTTGATGGTTCCAGGTGTCATCCTCCTTTCGTAATCCTACCAACCTTTCCCACTGCTTCTTCTGACCAAAAATAAAATAAAAGTATTGGCTGAAATCCTGTCTCTCAGAATAGCAAGTCTCAACTAGAGTAGGTCCCCTGAAGCAGTGGGAATCCGGTGAGTCAACTTCTCTGTTAAGTTTGATGGATCCCCAATCGAATACTCTCGCTGTGACTTACTTTAGCATTGTAAGATACAATTAAGAGTCGACCTATTGGAATCAGTGGAACTTGCCAAATCCTGACTGGTTCAGTGGGTCTACTCTAGTGCAACTTGCCACCGATTTCAGGATTTCAGCCAAAATAAAGTAAAATAAAAAAGGACAGCTTAACCAACTGATTCAGTAAATGTGCTCTCCAAATGCTGTTGCCAATGGCAGACACGATGAGACAGTATCAGCATAATCAACACATTCCACATCCCTGGACCAGTGTATAACTCTTTAACAGCATAATTCTATCTTTTGTTGGTCTTTTTTATTTTTCCTCACAAGAAGACTGCTTTTTCTTAAACTAGATGCATTTGGTTTAAGGAGTGCATGCACAGGATTGTATCCTGATTCAAAGCAATTCCTCCTGTATTTGATCAGGAAGAAGAGCCAGAGAGCAGTGACTAAACTGTGAAGGATCTGCTTACAACCTGAGTTCGATCCCAATAAGATCAGATAGCCCACTCAAGGTTGACTCAGCCTTCCATCCTTCTTAGGTCCGTAAAGTAAGTACCCAACTCTCTGGGGGAGGGGGCAATATGTAGCCTGCATAATTAAATTGTAAACTGCCCAGAGTGTGCTTTAAACACTATGGGGCGGTACATAAGCAACGGACTTTATAAATATTTCTGGGTTTCATTTAGTGATTATGAAATAAATTACATGACAGTGCTAACACAAGTGGAATTTTTTTTAAAAGCATATTCATCTGTGCAATACACATACTGTATATGGATTATTATAAAACAGCACTGAATTTAATATGAACCCTGCAAGGCAATATGCAGAGAATGTGTTAGTGAGGGCTGGAAGGCATTCTTCCGCATCCAAAGTTTAAATAAAAGTGGTTATGTTTTGGGAGTAAAGCTATATAATGTATACTATATACATGTAAGAGGCCCAGGTCTTCTTTCCTTTTATTCTGCAGCCAAGCAGAACTAACCCATCACTGAATTTATAGCTAGAAGCCTCACGCTGAAGCTCTGTCTTGCTGCAAAAAAATAAAATAAAACTATTTACAGAAAGGATCTGTCACAGGAGCAATTGCCTTTATACCCCAAATGATTCTTGCTTTCATTTCACACACCACATATATAATAAAAAAGTAACCAAGAACTCTGGAGCCAAACCAGGTTCTTTAATGTGAACAAGCTGGGCATTACAGGAGAGCTGTAGTTTAATAGTGCAGCATATTCAATTCTTTTTTTAAAAAAATCCTCCCGTTTATGAATGTGCGATACTGTGCTTCTGTATATTGACAATTCAAACTGCCAGGAAATGGCCCAGTATTGCTGCACAATATCATGCCTGCTTTGCTGCCAGGAAAAAAAGATGCCAAGCTTTCCATAACAAAAGGTAGCCTGAATGTTGACAACACCCATAGCAGCAGTCAAAATAGTCTAGCAGTTCCCAATCTTGGGTCCCCAGATGTTCTAGGACTACAACTCCCAGAAATCCCAGCCAGTCCAGCTCATGGTGAAAGATTCTGGGGGTTTTAGTCCAAGAGCATGTGGGGACCCAAGATTGGGAACCACAGGTCTACAGGATACCCTGTCATGCTCACTGCCATTCCAAAAAAAGACACCAAGCAGGAGAAAATCCAAGAACCGGACTCCTTTTTCTTCTTCTATCCGTTAACCACTTCTCACCTAAGGAAAGCGATTGTCAGGGCTGTTTTTCAACAAGTTTCAGAAGATTAGGTATACATAAGCCCATGTGGCTTATGTAGATGTGGTGGCGCTGCGGGCTAAACCGCAGAAGCCTGTGCTACAGGGTCAGAAGACCAAGCAGTCGTAAGATCGAATCCACGCGATGGAGTGAGCGCCCGTCGCTTGTCCCAGCTCCCGCCAACCTAGCGGTTCGAAAGCATGCAAATGCAAGTAGATAAATAGGGACCACCTCAGTGGGAAGGTAACAGCATTCCGTGTCTAAGTCGCACGGGCCATTTGACCACGGAAGATTGTCTTCGGACAAAACGCTGGCTCTATGGTTTGGAAACGGGGAGGAGCACCGCCCCCTAGAGTCGAACACGACTGGACAACAATTGTCAAGGGGAACCTTAACCTTTTATCTAAGCCCATGCTGTCAAGGGGAACCTTTACCTTTTATCTAAGCCCATGTGATGGGTTGACTTCATAAAGAAATCCAGAGCTGTTAGTTGGCAAGACCTAAGCAAAACGTACTGGGAAAGACCATATGGAGATGAAGGGAGTGCAGTAGGAAGAGAGGACAACCTAATATGAGGATGCTGCTGATTTGCAAGATCTGAGCAGAATGATAGGACAATTTGAGGTCACTCACTCCTACAGTCACCACATATCAAAAATGACTCAATGGTACATAACATCTTTGGAGTTGGGTTTTTTGTTGTTGTTTTGTTTTGTTTTAATCACCAAGCCATTGTATAGGGATAAGATGGGTGGAATTGGGACCATAACAGGACACAATGACAGGATTTAGGTACTAAAGCTCTGCTGATATCAAGTAGGACCCTCCTCAGTCTCAAAGCAAAAAAGCAGCAATTTCACAGCTTAAACAAGTGAGCTTCCGTATACTTGTTTTGTATTCTTTTTTAAATATGTGTTTTAAAGTATTTTACAGCAAACCTGTGGGGCCTACGTTGGGGGTCTGTTGAGGCTTTAAAAAGAGGTGTGCCTATACCCATCTCAAGAAGCATGGGAAATAGCAAGATTCAGACTAAGAGTCCTGATTGCCAGCTCAGCTAACACATTACACTAGCTCTCATAACTAAAGGTAAAATTTCGTTCCCCATGACATTTTCAGTCCATTCGTGTCCGACTCCAGGGGGTGGTGCTCATCCCGTTTTCAAGCCGTAGAGCCAGCGCTTGTCTGAAGACAGTT